GCAATCTGCACATCCTTTGGCTCAGTAACATGTAATTTGTAGGAATGATGAAAAGCGACTGGCATGGGACAGCACAGCGGTGGGAGACCACTGAGAGTGGATTTCAAGGTCACATGTGCTGGATAAGCAGCTGCTATGATTTAGTAACAAGAGAATACGTAGTGCATATCAGTAAGAGCCTGCATTTCAGTGAATGCTTTCCAAATCCCACAATTTGGGACCTGTAAAAAGCTGCAAAAATTTCAATTGTCTGATTGCAAAACAATATTTACTCTCTGCATTTTTACCGCCTGGGATTTTATGGTCATGCTTTCGTCAGATTCCGTGAAATCCCTGAAATAAACTTTGCCTATGACCTGCATTGTAAAAAAAAAAACCATTAATGGAAGATTTCTCAATTTCTCACATTGGTGTTCCTTTTTTAATGCCAACAGCCATGTCACCCTGCAACTTACAATCAGCAACCCACTAAAGCTAAGCCCTGCGGTCCATGTGGGTCCTAATTCCCCAGTATAGTGACGGGGACACCAGACTGTAAACAAGCGCTGTCTTTCGGATGAGACGTAAAACCAAGGTCCTGACTCTCTGTGGTCATTAAAAATCCCAGGGTGTTTCTCAAAAAGAGCAGGGGTGTAACTACTCTTGTAACTACCCTACCCCAAATTTCCCATGCCTCCTAATAATCCTCCTCTATGAATTGGCTACATTCCTTTGTTCTCCTCCCCCCTCCGACAGCAGGCGGAGCGATGTGCCGGTTGGAGTATTCTCGGTCGCATTTAATGGCAACATCAGCTCAAAGATTTGGTTCAAACCACCAAATGGAGAGGGGCGTGCCGACGAGCAGACCCTGCTGATGCGGGATTAACGCTAGGATGAGAGAGAGTGTTCCTTTTTTAACAAAGTGCTCCTAAGCATCGATTTTACTACCCAAAGGAAAGTGCTTTGACATAAAACCTAATAACTCTATTTCTTCCCCAGCTTAGATATTTATCATTAGTCAAAAAAACAAAACGTGGTTCAGAAAACATTTCTAGATCTGACCAAGGACTGCTGCTCTGCCTGAAAGTGATCCTAAACCAGGAATAAGGTGATGGGGTTGTTTCTTTATGGGGATCCTCGTGTGGTTTTCAATTGCATTTCCGATCAGGTTTGAAAGAAATGAAAGTGCGGCAGTGTGTAGTACTGCATACCTCCAGTAAACCTCCGCATGGTTAGGCACAGTGATCTGCCTTGGTCACTGCGCCACCCTCCACACAAACACAGCTGGTATCTCCGCAACCTCTGGAGATTGCAAAAGCCATGGAAACAATGGGAATCAATCCCATTGATTGGAGGGAAATTTGGAAAGAGCAAAATTTAGTCGACCGCACTAGCCTGGACACCCACACTCTCGCAGAAAACGGCCGAGTGAGGTTAGGGCCTTTAGTTCAAATGGTCTCCCCTGGTCCACCAACGCCTTTCCTACGGTTTGGCTTGAAAGCCCTCAGGTGCCAACAAGGCCCAGCCTTGTGCTACTGTAGTTTTCGTGCAAAAGCTATATAAACACAAAGGAGTCTCCACTTTAAGGTTTCCTTTGGACATTCTGTTTCCATATTTACCCTTGAAGTTCCTGTATTTATATTTCCAGGTTTTCTGCCATTCAACTGCGGACTTTGGTAAAGACTTGCTTATTGTAAAAGCTATAACTCAGTGTAGATCAAGTCCTGATTTATCTTCTGGCCAAAGGATGATCACATTCTGAAGCTCACTTATCTCCTATGAGTAAGTGTTTCTGCACCTTTCACATGGGTAAAATGGGGACTCCTGCTTTACTCCTGCTGCAAACATTAGCAAAAGAACAACGATTACAAAATAAGGTAAGATTCTTATTGACACGATACAGTGTGCAACATGATGCATAAAGCTGGCCTGAGGATGACAAGCAAACAAGCTGCCCAGCCATGTTGTCAAAACCAATATCCTGCTTTCTTTCAAGAAACAGCTGGACGAACTCCTTGGGTCAATTACCCTTGAGTAACAACAGGGGCGAAATGGCTGCGAACGTTCAAAGACAAATTAAATCCGCTACCTTGGATCATCTGCAGAAGCTCGTGGTTGAAGGAAGGACAAAAACAGACTACTTTTCCAGCTCGTTGGAGAAAGACATGATGAGCCGCAGATTAAATTAAGTAACATTTCTTATTTAGGTTTCAAAATAAGCATCAGTGTGAGGCTTCCAATCCGCTCCCTGTCTGGGTGGTTATCTGCCTTCTGCCAAACAAGTTGTTCTAATCCATTTAGTATGCAGGCAGATTTCTGTGCTCTAATGAGACTCGATATTCAATCTGCATCAAGCATGTGTTCTACAAAACCATATAAAAAGCCAGCAATCTGTGTAAGTGCATATGACAGTATATCAGACCTAACATTCTGAACAAAATATTTCATATACGAGAAAAAGGGGAGATTGAACAAAGGTTTTTTTTCATTATTAATATAAAAAATGTAAATTTTTAATTGCAAAGAAACTGAGCCAAACGGGCTAACCCTGCTCTAATTAGTTACATAATTAACTGGTATTCAAAAGGATCTAGAATCAGGCATCTCGTAATATGAAGGAGGCCAGGTGTTCCAAGCGTAATTTTGGTCCCATTTTCGTCTGCTCAGAAAGCAGTGAATAGAAAATTGGTTTGTTAGACTGTCCATGAATGAAGCAAGAAAATTGAATGAGTAATGCGCCAAAAATGTTTCTTTCAATCCTCAGAAGAAAACATATTCATAATAATTGATGGTGTCACTATAAGATTAAATACAATTTCATAAACATTCATAAAGTACTAATACTATTTGTACTGTATCTTATGTACAGTATTTGTAGTAACAATATATTTAACAACATGTACTAGCTACAGTGTATATCTGTGTCTACATACTGTATCTACAACAGAAGTCAGTACTAGGCTTCATTCACTGTAAGCCAGAATCTGTGTGTTCGGGAAACCTGGCTCACAAATCCAACTTCAATTCAATTCAATTCAAACCTGTAATAATGACACAGAGTACACAGTGTAGCACATCTGCAGTAAGTCCTGATAGAGAGCCCCTCTATGATACCACAAGTCCTCCCATTTCCTACCCACCAGGTGCTTTTTTCAAACAAAACTGCACGTTTCAGAACGGAGAAGATAGCGGATCGTCACATTGAAGATAAAAAAGAAGGCTCTCAGAAAATGTCCAAAAACTATGAATGTGGTATCACGTGAAGTGGCAGCGCCATTATCCACTCATTAGTGATTTACAGCCTGGGTTCCAGCACCTGAATCAGGCTTTAAAATGACATCATTATTATTAGCAGAGCAGTTGGCTTCCTAAGAGGAAACTACATTTTCCTATCATCTGTCTCTCTATCTGCATGCAATTAGATTAAATCTCGCTCTAAAGTCATGACTCACATTTTAAATACATTCAGTAGTTCTGTGTGATATCACTCCAGACACACAGGGCAACAACGAGCGATAACTCTTGGCTGAGGTATAATTTTATTTGAACCTAATGTAGTTTAATATACATCAAGCCATGATCAATGAATTGCACATTATTCTGCCGTTTTCTCTGCTACTAGATTCCAGCTGTCTCCCTGCGAATGAGAATAACCAATCGCCCCAAAGAAGACAAATGTACAGTATAGCAAAAAGGTTATCAAGGCAAAACGACTACAAAGAACAGAGCCAATGACAAACATCACAAAAGAAATGCATACTTGCAATGTCATAGGAAAAATACATCTTTTTAACTGATGTGCTTTTTCCTTGGCAATATGTACTGTACTACTGTACAGTACTGCACTCCCACTCCTGTGAGTGACTCTCCTGCAGATTCTGCACAAACATTCCAGAACAACAGGACGGGCATCTGAATATTTCTGGGTTTCGCCCGCTACCTGGTGTGTTTCAGAATGCATCCTCACAGAAGTTCTGACCGTCTTCCAACAGGAGATCTTGCTGGAATACATCCACCGAGGACTGTCCAGCAGACTCCACACACCAGAAAGAAAATTTCACCCTGAAGTGGAACCATCAAAATAAACTATACTGACACTGTCCCACCTCTTTGTGATGACGTCTGAAGCATCACAGCAACAACTTGTCTACGATTTAATGGATTGTCTTTTCAAAGACAAAAGCTTACAAAGCACTCTCAGGCTGTCCTCCAGGGAAAAATGCTTCCTACTGTAGTTGCATTACAGTAGGGTATGCGCTCTGTTCCAGAATGGAACTGCCCAGAACCTCAGCAGAGCAATTCCAGAACACAGGTGCAAACATTCTGTGATTCTATTCTTTTCCCAGGGCATGTAAAAATATATATTAAGAAAATAACCTACTGTATGTTTCACCTGACTCAAAATACCAGGCAACTTTACTGATTTTTCGCGAGATCACCTGAAGGCAAAGCTCCACAATTTGCAAAGCTTTGTGTTTAAAAAAAAGAAGCCGAAAAAGTGTATTATTCAGGCCAAAACAATTATCCGAGTGATCAGGCAAGTCTTCAGCATAACGATATGGGCAAGAGATTAAAAAAACCTGTCAAACCGCTTGGACATAATAGTTAAAAATGAAGACTGAAACCAAACAAAGTACTGTTACAACTAACACACTAGAAAAAAAACTCACTCTGAATACTGCACTGGGTTTCGGTCACCATTGTACAAAAAGGATATTATTGCCTTGCAAAGAGTTTCAACTTTAGGTCGAAACTGGAAGACACAGATGTGTTCAAAAGCACGATGTTCCGGAATAGGCTGAACAATCCCATCGGATTCAATGAAAAATCCCTGACATTCAAAATCATTAGTACCTTTGCGACTTCATTTACAACACAGAAATAGGCCTGGCCATCATGCTACAAACAGGATACTGTGCTACAAAGACTATGCAAAACAAAATGAACAAGAAATTGTACTGAAACAACAGAAAGAAAATACCAGGCCCATCACAGTTTATTCCTTTTAAATTCATTCTTACCATACAGATGAGAGCAGTGTGTCTTCCCTTCATCTCTGCCAGCCTCTTTTCCTGAAAGACAGATAAAAATCAGGAAAATTGAGGAAGTTCATTTGAGTCCTTAAGATATGTATGAAACAATATACACAACTAATTTGTTACAAATGGCTTTAGTGTGAATCGTATCCGCTTATTATAACCAGAAGGTATCACTTACCACAGCACCTAATCGCTTTCCGGTTGCACATCTGCACCAACACAGACTACAGGAATTGCAAAAAAAAATTCATTTTTCATTCTTCTGTTCTTTGACTCGGGGTTTGATGATGAAACACTAAAGACTGAATTGCTCTGAGAGTGGTATCCATTCCCTGGGGAGACGGTAGACTTAGCTACTTCAATCTTCTTTCAAATTGACATTTTATAATGTAATTAATTCCCTTGAAATTAATGGGTGCCTTTTTATCCAACAAAGCAATGTGTAGCGTGTACGTTTTCTAATGGAGAAATTACAGCTTTCTGTCATCTGCGTTCATCAAGACCATCTGCTTCTGAAGAGCACTGCTGCCTGGCTGAATTCCGGTACCACAGGCATAGGGTTCTTCTAATAACAGGAAGCCAGGCTTCTCCATCTTTCAACAATTTAAAGACCTTCTGGGAAAAGGCGCATGAAGCCAACATCTTGAAATAATTTGCAACGAAGAGAGAGTTAAGATCATTAAACAAATTACTAGAAATTAACAGTGGTCAAATTATCTGGAAAACAAATGGCACCCAATAAACATACATTTCAGTGAAATTAGAGAGGGAGGAGAGAAAAATTTGCATTGAAGTGGTAAAAAATGCCACACTCTGCTCTGATCACTGATGATTCCTCTACGCTCACTGTCAACTCAGCAGACCTGAACATATCAAGGATCAAGGGTGCAGAGTTAAAACTTGTACTGCTCCTGCAATCATAACCACACAACAGTTCCAAAAACCCCCCTACTGTATGTATTTTAAAAAGGGAGAGAACTAAGCAACTGGAAACACACTTATAGGTTCTGGCTCCTGTTCATTTTGCTCTTTGTTTCCACTCTCTGCTTATCCCCCCTAATGCCTGTACTACAGTCATTACCAGAACAAACTTTTAGTTAGCGAACAGAGGCCAGGGTTACCAGAGCCACTCCAGCCCTGCTAAACACATTTAATGTTGGGATTTCATGCGCCACACACCAAGGGAATTTAAAATGGTAAGAGAAAAGAAAAGGGCACCCACAACGTTTTCATGTAGACACATTAATAATGTTGATAAAGGATAAGGCAAAGGTACTGTGTACTGTACCAAGATTCACATCAGCTGGCTAAAGGGGTCCAAGGCGTATGTCATTTCAGTGCTTCAGGCAACAATACCATGCAAAATAATAAAACCACTTTCCCTCTGCTACAGGACCTCTGCTAAAGGGAGGGAGGGACAACTGCCTTTATTCTTGGAGTGTTTCTTGCAGGCTTCCGTTCCTATAAAGCTGCCATTGTGCAGAATCTGGGCATCACTTTTATTTGCAGAAATCGGGGATGATTGACTTCACTCTGTGATAACGTTTTGTTACCTGAAAACAAATGTCAACAACTGGCGAGCGGTGACAAAAGAGAGCCCAGAAGGCAGAGATCAGGTACCGGCAAACAAACACTGCCACCAGTCCAGAAGGCTCCTAGTAATTATTCACTCTACCTTGCAGCTCAACAAAGGCCAAAATGAAGAGTGCATGATTAATATTTCACAATTATCTTTTAAATGTCGTTTCATCTAACACATGGTCGGACACAAAGCACATGAGCCGCTCAAAACAGCAGTCGTGATCTTGATTAACCAGGTTGAATAAGAGAAGCTGTACCACACCATCAGATGGGCCGAACCCCTATACCAACTTTGATTTATCCAAGGATATCTTCAAGAATACTACAAATAAAGAAATGAACATACCGGAAGGAAAAACCCTTCATTTCTAAGGTGCTACATCAGCTTTCAAAAACAAATGATTAATATACAAGGAGGGATGACCTAACCTGCACATGTGACAGCTCTCAGTCTGCCCATATCCAGCGCACTGTTTATGGACAAAGGTGGGCTGCTCTGTGCACCTGGAAAACCCATCAGATCCAAGTAGGAGAAGTTTATTCCCTGCTTAGTCCCTTTTCATGTTTTCTTTGCACTGAGTCAGAAAAGGAAAGTTTGGACAATTAGCCATCAAAAGGTTTGCTGGGGGCTTATTATTCTGTCTCTCTACTACTTTTTTATTTTCTATTGTAACATGTGAGTGCCACTACTGTATAATTATATAATACCCTTCCGGCTTGGCAAACTGCTGTTTCTAAACTGTATTCACAAGAACCTTCAAGTGTTACAAAGGTTTTGACAGCACGTCATGACACAAAAGAGCAAATATTGATGTATAGCATGTACTGTATAAAAATCACTAACCTGCTCTTAAAGAAACGGAAGAGCTAAAAATATTTAGTGTAAAATCCCAGCAGATAGTTTATAATATTATCCCATTTCTAAATCTGGGAAAAACAATAGTATCCCACCCTACATACCCCAGAAATATTTCAACAATGACCAACCACTGAATATTGTAAAAGTCCAATTTCGATATATTGTATATACAGTAAACACTGAGGCAATAAACACTCAACAAATGAGAATTGAAAAAAATACCAATTGTCACCCTTTTAATGCCTTATTGCAGATATTCTCAGATATTCTCACAAGGGTGTTTCAATAATCTCATCTGAGTCTTCACTGTCTATTCCATGCTAATGGCATAGTGTTTTTTAAAGAGCTAAAAACAGCACACTCCACACTAACATGAAAGAAATGAAAGCAAGTGCAGTACACTATACTGTATGCACCCAGTCTGAAATCAAAACCCGGAGCTGTAAGGAATCAGAGCTACAGCAACTGCCATGCCCGATTCTGATTCAACATACAACGAGTTCACACAATATAACATTGTAGTCTGAAGGTGACTCAGTCTGCCCTAAATAATTAAAACTGAAAGACAGCAAAGACAAAACTGCCCTATTTGTACTGCATACAGATCAGGTGACAGGAGTGAATTTGAACTAGTTGTTATTAATAAAATGGGACTGAAGAACAGTGACCAGCTTCATTTTCCCTTTGGTGTTTTCTGAAAATCATGGCAAAGTAACATATTTTCAGATTTCAAGGCCAGTCACAGCAAAACCCATCAGCACAGACATCTCCCTTCAGAGACAACTGCAGTTGCAGCCCTCCCCCTGCTCCTCCAATGTCAGAAGAACCCCAACATTCCCAGCTGACCTAGGGAGTGCAGATGGGCCTTTGATGCTTTTTTTTCTGGATCCACAACTTCAAAGGCCTTTGCAACTGCCTTGCTCTACAGATCACCAAATACTGACATTTAAAACAGAATTGTCTCCCACCTCAGGGGGAGAAAGGAAGGGAATTTCAAATCCTTCCACATTTTGTACCAGGACACCCTATTTTCCAGCCTCTTCTCTGGCCCATCTCCTCTTACACATGACTATTCCAAATGCAAAGTGAGGCGTTCAAACCTACAGTACATAAAAACAAGAAAATAAAACTCCAGCATTCTCATCTGGTGACTGCATTTGCAACTGGACAATGAAAGACTGTGCCGAAGAGCTCTCTAGCACACAAAGGAGACGGCATCAAAGCTGTCACTTGCAGACTAGCTTGCCATTTTTTACTCTTTCTATAATCAATGGCCAGAGGGCTGTTATCAGATGCCTTTTTTTCTTTTTTAAGCACTGAACTATTATTCATACCTCAATGCCACACCATTTCCTGGAGTTCAGCTCTTGTCTAGCAGCTCCAGAGGCTCTTTGTGTAACAAATTCAACACATGGTGTCCATACCACAACAGCAGCACACTCTCCAGGCGAGCTCACTCCAGAACACAAAGCAGCCCGAGGCTGAGGCACTGTTCACATTTCACCACAGGCTGACGTGACATTATGGACATATTCAAACTTAATGCAGTCCAGCAAAGGCACTTGGGAATTACAGTCTGCTGAGCTGTGCGTGCCTAAGACTGGACATAAAAACTTGTTGTTTTGAAAGGTATAAGAATAAATGAGACAGGTGAAGAAAGTGCTCAACTGCTCTTGAAAAACAACATCCACTCTATCCCAGCTTAATTCATTTCAGGTGTAAGGAGATGTACATACCTGTACAGTAGGGTCTTACACAGTATAAAAACAATAACAATTTACTCACACTACATTATTTGGAATACATTTGCACATATAGAAGCATGACATTACAAAATATCAGGCAAACCTGTATTAAGGTATTTTTGCTTTATCAGCGACGATTTGTACAAAACCCTGCAGCTCTTAAAGTTTAAAGTGCAGTGGTAGTGGACCAGGTTCAATGACCATATACTATGCTTCTACTAAACTTACTATGAAAGAATTAAAAAGCTTTCACTCTGTGTTTCCATAAAAAGAATTCTACTAGTAGAGTTAAAAATCTTCCTTTTCCCCCAAAGTTATGAAACTCCCAGATGAACAAAGTGGGACCAGTGATCAGATTTGAGAGGATTACTGACAGCTTTACAGTTGAAAATTTGTTACATAAGGAAGCAACGCTTTGCAATTTTCACTGGCTTATATGGTGCTGCCATACAAGGAACATGTTTTTAATCAGTGTCCACTGACTAATCCTCCTGGAATTCTGCGCCTACTCTGGTAGTATCAGTATCAAAGAAATCCTTATTGTAATAAGCAGGTTGGTTGATTCTAAGGAGAGAAGGAGTAGAAGATGCAGGAGCTGCAAAAGAGGACCAGCAGAGCCTGAATGTGGGGTAAATTAGATCATGAAGGGACAATCGAATCTACTACCAGCTAGAAATTTTGAATTAGAGGTGCAGGCAGGATGGATCGCAACATAGGTCCTGCACTGTACTTTGACTCGTGGAAGAGCTAGTGAAAACAAATGTCAAAATACTGTAAGCCCACTAAAAATGTTCATTTTGATCAGATTGTGGTGCATAGCAGTAAAGCCTAGTTTCTCGAGAGAGAGA